TTGACCGTGGTGACAATTGACAACTAGATCTGTCTTCTATCAAATGAGCATGCAAATCCAATAAGGGTACCGGTTAGATGGTAAGACGGTTGACTTCTAGGTATCTTGCCACTTTACATAGTTACATAGTTAGGAAGAGAGCAAAATGTAGCAATATTGCTATTTCCAGGAGAACAATCTTTTAAGGACAATAAACAAAACTATGTCCCCGGAGCAGCGGATTACGCGAATGTAATTTCGAAACGGTTCTCCGACTCACCATCAGAAGTCCTTTCCTTTTCCAGTAGATTGCTTGGCCAAAATCTTTACCGAGCATCAGTGGTGAAACTGGAACAGTCCCCAAATTTTCCCTGGTCCAAGGCTGGCTAGGGCTCATAGCAACATAACATCGATTAGTTGGCGCTTTCCGCTCTGCTCACTCTGAGGCAGTGGGGATGTTCCATTTTCAGTTCGCTTTCTGTTTGTTCTTGTACGCTCATGTGCTCGTAGAACCTGTATTCGCCCATCTGCGTTTGTTCGCAATTTAATTTTCGGCAAATTCAGCAGCACTTGGTTGAAAAACGAGATAGTAACTCAGGCTACTCTTGCAGTTAGAGCTCAGTCTTGGTGCTTTCGCTCTCATAAAGAAGCGTAATTCCTCGTCTCGCCATATTTAGACAACCAATCCATCTTATCCGATTGCTTAGATTGTTTTTGTTAAACCCCTTTAGAATAACTTAGTATTATTCGGGATTCTTTAATGAACAGTGTTCACCTTCATAGCCAAACCCAGAAAAGAAGTCACGCAATCACCACGTTGGGTATTATTAGCACCAGTGCAAAACCTTTGACAAAACACTTTTCACGCTCCGTTGATGTGTTGATATGAATAGTTAAGCAGATAGTATTTCCGGCAAAGACAGGGGAGACTGGAATGACCATTTCTGGCTTATTAGCCGTCGTCAGCCAGTCATATCCAGACCCAAGGGGCGTCCCACCCGAGCCTCGAACTCGCAACGTTTTTGCTTAGAGTTAAACGCCTTAACCATTGAGCCACGAGCTTGTTTTCTTGCCCGGTTAGGTTGAATTCGACACTTCCTCTGTCCAGACTCCAGGCAGAGTGGGACAGGTGAGTTCTATTAGCGGTCTGGTGAACGTTCATTAATGAATGAATTTTAAATTGAAATTCATCGGCTACAGCTGCAACTTGACAGTTAGTAATATAAGCATGCCGGATGAGTAATAACGCTGATATTAGTTGAAAAACTTCGTGTTCTGTTTAAAATTATGCTCAAGTTTCAAATAATCCACGCTTTTAAATGGGATGGCCCACCCTACTCTTCGAAGCATCGGCTTATTGATTAAGTTGTCCTAGAGAGTTATTTTTTTCCGCAATCATTACTCAGAAATATCGTGTAATTTATTGGAAATAAATACACCAGCCTAAAGAAAATGCTACGTAACGGTCACCTATAGGCTTGGCTCAAAAGTTAGTACGAACATTTCAGCTGGAACCGATCAGCTACGACGGAATAGCCGTGCCATACGTCCAAGCGGCCAAATGGTCGTGAGTTGTATGCACATGCTGAATGAAAGGGTTCAATTTCGGCTTTGTATCGGTTGTACTCTTGTCTTTGCCGGCAATACTGTCTGCCTAGACCAGAAGCCGTTGTGTGGCTGCTGTCAGGGTCCGAGAATGAGATCCAAGGTAGAGCGAGATGAATGAGTTCTGCTAGCGATCGGTTAACGTTCATCAACGAGATTTCAAAATTTTCTGGGGAAGGGAACTAATCATAAGAGTAGTTGGGGTAGGTCCACACAGGCCATGACTCTTGTTTGCCAAAACACACAAAATTCCAAACTCTCAATCGGAGAACACATAATGCATTGGATGGAGCCTATTGTTTTCGCGGGGCAGTCATTATAACTATAAAGTCGGCACAACTTCGTTGTAGGGCGAAAAACTGGTTTTTAGCAAAAATAACGGACTTGATAAGAAGAAGACTCGATCGCTGGAACAATACGTTTATTCGCCTGACGTTTCGACATCCGTCTTTTATTCGCCTGACGTTTCGACATCCGTCGCGGATTCATCATCAGAGACATGAGCATGAAACAGGAGCAGAGACCCGTTTCTGCCACTGTTTCTTTCTCATGTCTCTGATGATGAATCCGCGACGGAT